AATTTGGGTTCATTAGGACTGTCATTAAACTCAAAACCAATGTCAACTTTCTATATAGAGCTTGTTAACGATAACTCGTCAATAATAATCACGGTAAAAGCTTAATAACAAACATATAGTTTTAGGATACTATTAGTACGTTCAAAGTAAGTACTTTGGAATTCCTGACACGGACCCGCCAAGTAGTACTCGATAAGGAATCACCTAAAGTTTTATTAATTATTAAATAACCATTAAATCATAATCAACTGCGAGAAGCAGTAGTAATGTAAAAGAGTAGTTTAAACGTTATAGGAAATTTTGACAATACTATTAAAATGATGGGCCAGTGCTAGATCATATAATAGGGAAACATGTAGTGACTTATGTACTTGGCCTCAATAATTTGATATCAATACTTTTTATTAGAGGAATACACAGCACTCCTGTACTTGGCGTAGTTTTTTACACGTAAGTGTTTTTTGGGGGATATCACAAGTTTTTGTTGCTCAACGGGACATAGAAGCTCTAACCACTGAAATCTATATTGTCACAGATATAAAATGTAAATGCATTATGATGTCATTAATCAGAAAAATATATTGCGTTTCGAAAATGTTTAATGTCATATAAATTTAATTTGTAAGTCCTTTTTTCTAGAAATGCATAAAGATATATAGAAATTTGTAAAGAAAGACAGCGCTCCTGAACTTGGCGTAGTTTTTAACACGTAAGTGTTTTTGGGGGATATTAATTTTTCAAACCAATTCGAATCATTATTAAAATTATCAATTTTGTAAATAATCGAATGATAATGTATTGATTCTTAAAGTATCAATATTTTAAGAATAAAAACAGATTTGTGTCTAAGAATTATTATCTCCTGAACGGTAAGATGGCGTCACCAGTGATGTCAGCTACATTTGTGTATTACTACATAAAGTTTTTTTTTTTACCATTCTAGGGTTAATTAGACGGCTTCAAAATTGTAATAAAAATAAAAATTGCTCAGCGATCCACTTAGTTGAATTTTTATTCATTATGCCAAACTGCTGTAAAAACTGTTCATATTTATTGTCTCTGCATCGTAAAACTCATTATGAGATTTACAATTTACTGACATGTCTGGAAAGATTTAATTAGTCAAATACATTATACAATTATGATATAACTTAATTAGGACAGTATAAGATACATGATGCACATATATCCTAAAAAAGAAGTTTTATTCGATATTTTTAATAACCTCGCAAATAGTGTTAAAAGTTACTTTTGGTTCTTTGTTAGTTTAACATTCTACTAGAAATTTTAAACAGTATCTCGATGGCCAATTATACATGCATACACCGATAGTTCTGAAGAAAATCAAACTCTTGGTTGGTCGAAATTGTTCGATACAAGAGTTCTGACTAATCAGAAGTTTGATTTTCTAAATGTATGACTTTTACAGCAATGCTGTGATGGCGCCACAATTGCTTGATTTTGTAGGATTTGGTTTAATCTGGCGGTATCCTGAGTCAGAGTAGTCGACCGGTAAGCGAAAGCTCCCGGGTTCGAATCCCGACCCAAACATCTCGCATTTTTCTTTAGATTATCCCTTAGAATAACACATTTCCATGGGTTATATACTTGATGAACAAAAACTTGTGATATCCCCCAAATCCCGTTATAGGAACTCTTACTCTAGTGCTAGATCATAAAATATGCAGCTACGTAGTAAATTATGTACTTGACATTCAAATAAGATTTAAATATTTTTTATTAGCGGAACAATAATGCACGATATAATACAAGGAATTTACAAGGAAAATACAAGCAATTCTATACTTGGCAAGGTTTTTTATATGAAAGTGTTTTTATAGGGTAAATTATAACAATCAAATTCTGGTAACTCATTATAACAGAAATTCATTTTTACATTTAAAATATGAAGAAAATTTAAAACCTTGATATGCAATTGCATATATCATATTATGGAACTGTGGTATGGGGAGCGGGTCCTGAGATAAAGGACATTAGGAGATACGTACCGGAAATGTTAATTTAAATCAGTATGTTTAGTTAAAGATAGATTTTAAGGTAATGCAGATGCCAAAGTATAATAATAATCAGGCCCAATGCGAGGTCAATGTCCACACAGTCTTTGTGCTTTGTTCAGAGTTTAGAGATAAGTACGGTTCTCCTCGATGAGAAGATTAAGGACAATTCTGGATTGAATGACGAAGAAGACAGACATGTCCAGGTCGGTAGATCCGAAAGAACTCGATGTAGGCAACACCTAGCTGATAATAAGTCTATTTAATTCATTCCATTCTACATAATTTGATAATTCACTGTACTTGCTGTAATATCCATAGTACTCTAAGAAAAGCAATTCAAATTATTATTTTCAGTGATGCATAAACAAATCAATATATGTATATCGCTGTGCAAACATAGCAACGAGTTAAGCACAATATAAAGATGCTACGAATTTGTATGGCATTTCTCAAATTAAAGAACAAGTAGATCTATTTTTATGAATGAAATATTTTTCACGCATATCTCATAATTAATTATTAAATGTGAATATCTTTTTACTGTGATTTTTTGTATGAATTTTTGTCTGTAATGAAATAATATGCAATAATAGTACATTGTGTTCCAACAGGGTAAAATGGCACTTTTAAGGTCAAGTGCGATGTTTTCAGTACGAGTCGCAGACGAGCGCGCGAGACGAAGACGAGTATTGAAAACATCGCACGCGGTCTTAAAAGGCCTACACCCGAGGTGCACACGGTATTTTGTGTAACACCATGTTTTCTGAGCTGTTTTGTTGCTGTATTAGGAAGCTGTTATGTACGCGGGAACTGTGTCATAGGCAAATGGTGTTTGCTACTGAAGGGCGGGCGTGCGAAGAGTCGAAGGGGCTGCGCCCTTTGCGGGGCTAGAAGGGGAAGCCCCACAGGGATACTAAACTTAGTTTTTAAATGATTATTAACATAAATTACGAGATTCCAATTCTTCATTTATTTATATCTTTTTTTTTTAACAAAAAATACTATGTCGGCGCGTTTATTTGGATCTTATGCAATTTCATTTGAAAGTGAGGTTTACGATTTTTCTCGTCGGGGAGGAAAAAAAAGTAACTTCCACTTTTAAGCTCTAGAAGTCCGAGGAGGGATTAAAAGTACTACTTTACTCCCTGTCTAGATGCACCGAAAAGTGACGGAAACATGGTAGCGTTATATAATAGTACATTATGCAACAAGGGAGTAAAGTCGTTGATTATCCTCCAAAAAACACTTACGTGTAAAAAACTACGCCAAGTACAGGATTGCTGTGAATTCCTCTAACAAAAAGTATTGATATCATATTATTGAGGCCAAGTACATAAGTCACTACATGTTTTCCTATTATATGATCTAGCACTGGCCCATCATTTTAATTATATTTTCAATATTTCCTATAACGTTTTCGCTACTTTTTTATGTTACTACTGCTTCCCGTATTTAATTACGATTTAATGGTGATTTAATAATTAATAAAACTGTAGGTGATTCCTTATCGAGTACTACTTGGCATGTCCGTGCCAGGAATTCCAAAGTACTTACTTTGTAATGAAATTCAGTTAGAAAGAAGTTGAGTCACTTAGGAATTTCGTAAGCTTTGATACAAGTCTCAACTACGTGGTGTAATCAGTGCCATCTGTTATCTAAAAAAGTAGTTGGAGGTACGAAGACGACGACGATGACTGAACAGAATTAAAATCATCTCGTTTGCTATTTCAATACGCCTTGATTTCGTACAGCAATTGTATAGATCTTGGTGCCGATCGATTCAGAACGGGAAACCTAAACACAGAAAACTATGCAGAGGGACACTTGAACACTCTGAACTTCCACATCTAACACCTAGATACAAGAAACTACGGAGCGGAACACCTGGACGCCCTGGACTTCCACGCCCGACACCTAGATACAAGAAACTACGGAGCGGAACACCTGGACGCCCTGGACTTCCACGCCCGACACCTAGATACAAGAAACTACGAAGCGTAACACCTGGACACCCTGGACTTCCAAATCCGACACCTACATACAAGAAAGTAAGGAGCGGAACACCTGGACACCCTTGACTTCCACGTCTGACACCTAGATGCAGGAAACTACGGAGAGGAGCATCTGGAAATCCCATATCTCTAAAAATTGTCACCTAAAATACGAGGAACTATGTTAAAGCACACACATACACACATACGTACACACGCGCTCCAGATGAAAGCCTTAATAATTCTCTACTATTGTGAAAGCAGCCTTATGTCAACTGGAAATTCGGTGTGAACGGTAGCTTCACGTACAAAGTGTATTTGATTGTGTTGTGTATTCGTAAATTACCAACACCATCCAGAGTACAAATAGGTAAAGAAGGCAAAGCAGTCAGCGCCATCTGTCGTGTAACAAATGCGATGGACGTGCGAAGACGACGACGACGACGACAAGGACGACGACGGAACTTTATTATATATTTTATGTCAGTTGGAACGGTTAAATTTTATTTATTCACGACTGAGCTATAATAGCCACTTTATTCCCTGAAAAGCAGGACTAAATTAGCATTTTATTCCCGCATATTTGGTTTTGCCGCAAATTTACTTTATTCCCGCAAAATTTTGAATTTGTTTTTTAATTTTTAATTTTTTTGAAAATTTTTGAAAGATTTGAAAAGGTGAAAAATTTAAAATATTTGAATTTTTTGAATATTTGAAAAAACGTATATTTCCATCATAATGACGGTGGCTGAGTAAGTCCCACTTTTCAAGAAATAAAGTGGCTACATAGTTTAGTCGTGAATAAAGCACTATATGTAACACGAGAGTAAAGTCGGTTATTCCCTCGGGTGATTTACTGCCCTCCCTTCGCTCGGGCAGTGAACTCTCACCCGCGGGAATAATCGACGACTTTACTCCCTTGTTGCATAATGTACTATTAGTAGTTTAAGGTTTTGGAAAAGGTATGTATCGAGTATTTTTTTATTTTTAGGCGGATGTTTCCTGTAGTGAAGGTAATAGCAAGAGGACTTGAACCGACGGCTATGTACACCTTGCTGTTGGAATTTGTACAAATTGACCCACATAGGTAAATTAAACAGAATATGTATGTTAACGAATACCGTTAGATGATGTGGAAGAAATTGTTTCATTTGAGGTAGTATTCATAAATGAAATATTACATTCTTTACTACTTTTTTAGATGGAAATATGTAAATGGGGAATGGGTACCTGGTGGAAAAGCCGAGGTAGCACCACCAAATCCCATTTATATTCATCCAGAGAGTCCAAATTTTGGTGCACATTGGATGAAAGAAGCTGTATCATTTGCTAAAGTGAAATTGACTAATAAATCTAACGGAAATGGTCAGATTATGCTAAACTCGCTACATAAATATGAGCCGCGAGTTCACCTAGTTCGAGTTGGTGCCGAAGAACAAAGAACGGTTAGTATTATTATTCAATTTCAACATTTAAATTATTGTTGTAATATACTGTTCAGAATACACTTTTTTAATTCTTTTTCAAGGTATTCAATTCAGAAATCTAATCAAGTTATTGTATTGTTTCTATCTGATGTTCCATATTTGATTATTCTACGAATAACTTCTAGTCAAAATAAATTGTTCGTTTTCTTATTTTGATTCAATATAGGTGTTTCATAGTACGAAACGCAGGAAGTTCTGAACTCGATACACGCAAACTAGATGATATATTGAAAATCAATATGTAAATGACGTTTATTTATTAATAAATGAATACTTTATTTTTTCATAGGTTCTTACCTATAGATTTCCAGAAACACAATTTATTGCTGTGACGGCCTATCAAAATGAAGAAGTAACTACTTTAAAAATTAAATATAACCCATTCGCTAAAGCATTTTTGGATGCGAAGGAAAGACCGAGCGATACTCAGTCATATCCCCAATGTAAGTATTTTAAAACGCTTATTGTAACACCTAAGTGGAATGAGGGGAAGTCCTGAAAAACAAGTATACTTTTCTAAACACGAAAATGCTGGTAAACTTTAAACACACATTTTTATTGAAAAATCAAAAGACTGTTACACCTTGCGGTAAGTACAGGTCACGCATACTCTTAGTCCACTAAAATTGTACACTCTGAGATGGCATTTGTAAGTCAAAAATTTTGTTTTCAATCATTTAAAAGTACAGTCTAGAAAAAATTTCTGAATCTTAATAAATAGGAACAGTGTTTCGGAACAAGAATACCAGTATTTCAGAACTCTTCGAAGAATAGGGAACTTCAGCATCGAAGCTCCCTTAGCCCGCATGATGCAGACTATTCGAAAGCCATGAATTTGACTAAATACGAACCTCTTACTTCAAAGGTTAAAAATTGCTAGCTGTTTAATTTTCAATGAAGAAAACATATTTCGTTTAAGAACAATTCTGTTCAAATTTTATTTACGACAGTTGTGTTGTCTTGGACTACTGTAGCATGTCATTCAGGAATAATCAGAAACAGAAATGAGCAGTGCAGGAAACAGTATATTAAGTAAGCTTCACAATGAGGCTCTAATTGATGTTGTACGATCTATAATTCTTAAATTATGAAATTTTAAAATAAACCTTTGGAAGTTCATAAAGAATTACGCGCCAGGAATCTCTGAAGGGTAATAATTTTACAAATAAACTAAAACCTTGCTAAAATTTTTTGGTGAAAAATTAAATTTTTTATGAAGACAATCTTACTCTTTATTCAGATGACTAGTTTTATTTTAAGCATACATCAAATTAAATTTTGTATACCTCGTTTTTAAGAAAACTTTTCATATTCTGTTTTTAATTCAATGTAATTCAGTTCACAAGGTGAAAAAACGAAAAGTATGCTTTTCATTATAATAACTCTAATTTTCAATCACAAAATTTAGATAGGGTTTTAATTACTTTGTAAAATTATCACCGTTCAGCTATATAAAGGAAATTTCGATATCTTCATTTTTCAATGACTGACAAGTAATTTTGTGTGAATATCAGAAGGTTTATTTAAAAACTTCACACTTCGCGAATCATAAGTAGTATAATATTAATAAGGGGTTCACCGTAAATATTTATTTACAGGGGCTTATTCAATATGCTTTAGGTGGCCCATTGATAGAAATCGTGTAGATCTCATAGGCAAAGAGTTATTCGCGATGAAACGCAATGAGAATAATTGAGAAATATATTATTGTTTAAAACTATTGACGCAAGAGGAGTTCATTGAGTTTCAGAAATTGGTTTTAAAATGCAGATTCTGAATTGATAAATAAAAATATCTTGATAAACTAATGTCACGTCATCATAGGATTTAAATACGAATTTCACTGAACTACTTGCACCGGGTGAGATTTGACTAGTAGATGTACAAGGAGAGTTCTGGCTCAAGATTCCTGCAGCGATACGTTACCGACCTCTGGGTTTGCGTCCGTGCTTAGTTAGCGATGTTGGCGCCCCCTGTGGATAGTAAGTTAGGGCGATTGGGCCCCCTATGAAAGATTTCTGCTTACCGACGCCTCCGGAATTTTGAAGAGGGTGCCGCGCGCACAAGTCGATGGCGCCAACCCCCTTCATCGGCTAATGTCATCGGAAGGGGGCCTTGGTTTTACGTCAGCTTTCAGGCGTTTTACGGCAGATTTCAGAAGTTTTACATCAGACGTAATTGAGTACATTCTAGATCCTTCTATTGCAACCCCACCTTAGTCTCATCCCTGACACATTGACCTCGCACGTGGAAGCGGTGGATTTCAAAGGAGATGATCGGCAACGTTACCGAATTTTGTACTTGCGATCCTCTGGCAGCTGCTACCCCCCTTTCCCTTCACACTTCCCCCCCCCCCC